CGGAATTCCGATGCTTTATTACGGACTACAAGACTTCTAACCGCAGGAGTCGAGTGTTGGCGTGCTTCTCTTGATAAAAAAGGGAAACAGAGTACTTGTTATGTATGTCTCTGATGGATATAGATCGCTGCGTCGTTGGTACTATGCTAGTCTTGTCGCTGCTGGTAGGCTGCCGTTCGTCAAATCTGAGCAAGCCCATCGCCTTCCATATCGTTGAGCGTTGTCAATACAATGGCTGGGACAAGGTTGCTGACGGATGAAGGCGCTCTAACTGGTGCGTCTAAGCCCTGTAACTTACAGATAGTCTTTATCCCCGCGCGATACCAGACTGATTGCCAACTCAAGACGATTTCCCTAGAAAGACCAACCGTTCTAAAATTAGGACTTGCATTTACGACCATTCGCCTAGATACCGAACTGGCCTATAAAATACATATCAATGGCGACCCCGGGAATGACTTGGGCGTTGATGGCCGATAAATACCGAGATCGAGGATATGACACTGGAGGCTGCTAAGCTTTGAGAGGCTAGGTTCAACGTTGCAGCAGTACTGAGAGATCAAAGAAAGGCTGTAGCGTAAAAACACGTTCTGCATGTCCGCAATTGCCCCCGTATCCGAAGACAATTCCTTGTCTACTGGCGAAACAAAAAGGCTCGTGACACCTCAAGAGATCCTCACATATCAGCACAGTAGAAGACACCTCACCCCGGGGTATAATCCGCCTAGGAGAGATCAACTTTTCAGCAAGAAGTGGGAGCAAGAAAGAGGCTTCATCTAAGTCTACAGATGGCGGCATCGTCTCCACGCTCATGCATAATGAAGCCATTCGGTTCAAGGGCTATAGTCATTTGTTCGGCAACTTTATACGTAGCCCATCTCACTCATGCTGCGGCTGATCGTCGACAAACATTCTTCTGATACAGTCACAACCATGCAGGAGGAACAAGTCGTGACGATCTTCTGTATACGTGAAAACATAGTGACTATACGGAGTATGTTGATATATCGGCAGCGCTTGAGAAATATACCCTGCAATAGTGCCAGCCTTATGCGTTCTTTGCGCCCTTCGATGGAATAATAGCCATTGCTAATGCTAGACAAACGCAACGTAAGGTTTGCGGTATATAGACTGAACAGTAAGTGGCGAGAACAATCCGACTTTGACATCCTCGCACCATCGCCATACACGACATCATTTATATAGCTCCCCCAAGAATGCACATCTCAAATCAATTAAACTCACGATCAAATTCCGCGACAGGTACCCACTTGTAGAGCTCTAGCGCGGATCATCAGCGGGCGTAGCGCGGAGCATCTGATCCAAGGTTTCTATTGTCGCCAACGCCACATTCGTCTCAACCCAGACAATAGAGGAATGTACACCGTTTTCGTCACACCCGAGGCCGACGATCAATTAAATCGACATCATAGAGATCTAAGTTACACTGGACTTCCGACAAGCGCAGATTAGGGCGTGGTTTCGTTTTCTTCGAAAGACTAGAGCTAGACCACTGCTGGCATTGTTGAAGATATACAGATCTCAGATCAGATCATCTTCCCAAGCGCCCGCATGTACCCCCCATAAAGCTATTGCCAGATCGTCAAAATGCTTATTCCAATTCCCTCGACGAAATAGCGCCTTATGAGCAAACTGGCTGAAATCTACCCAATCGCATGTGCACGAACCAAGCCACGTCAACGAAATAGGGTTAAGGCCGTACGAGAAACCATGAGAGATATCGCTTGTGCCGACTCCAGGATTGCTATCCGGTCCCCTGGGTCTGGTTGGAATGCTGAGAGTCTGTATGAATAGCATTGGCATTTCGCCATCTCGAGTCTAGAAGTGCCGCTTTGGGAATGAACCTGTACGCTGTGTTTGTATTTATTCTGCGTGGCTTGAAAGTAAATCTGTTGGTTCTGCTTTTTTTTTGTTCATCGCGAAAATCATCTGAGTGGTTACTTTTCTCCCTCGCTGACTGCGACTGAACTGTCAGGTTTATAAGTTACAGCGCATACTCCCAGAGAGAAACTCGTCATGGCGATCAAGGGGGAAGGCCCCTGGGTCATTGGGGCAATGTGGGCTTTGACGGTTGTTGCGTTTGTCTTTGTTGTGCTGAGGGCGTATACGAGAATCTTTGTCGTCAAGTCATTCGGCATCGACGACCATGTTTATAACCTAGCCTGGGTAAGCTACGACACGATACGACTTGAACTCTGCTGATGAGCAGTAGATATTCCTCCTCCTCGATACCGTATTCACAACCGTCGCAGTCAACTACGGCGTCGGCCAAGATATGGACGATGTCATCCAGAACAACCCCTCCGACCTAGCCCCTGCGCTCATCTTCGAAGCAGTCAGCCAAAGTTTTGCGATAGTAGGAATGAGTTTGGCGAAATGGTCACTTGGCTTGTTTCTGCTTCGACTTGTGAAGCAGCAATGGCACAAGGTGGCTATTTGGATATCCATGGCTAGTTTGATGTGCGCCTCTATCACTGTCTGCTTTGTGTACTGGCTCCAGTGCACCCCGCCGAATTATCTCTGGGATAGGACTATACCTGGTGGGCGATGTACGGTGGACACGGCTCCTGCGTCCATGTTGCTCTGCAGTGAGTACTCAATGTGAGCGTGCGTGGATAGAACTAACGTGAGCAGTTCTTTGTGTCGTGGTGGACTTTTTTCTTGCTGGCTTCCCTTGGTTATTCATCTGGGGCTTGCAGATGAAGATGAAAGAGAAAATTATCATCCTCAGCAGTCTTAGTCTCGGCGTCATGTATGAACAGCACCCATCGTGTCTTGAAACCGAGCTAATGAGCCTGTAGTGCTGGAGTGTTTGGAATCAAGAGAACCCTCGAGGTACCAAAACTAAAGAGCCCCAATCATACCAGTATGTCTTCCTTGAGGTATACAGATCATGACTAACATCCATCAGAGGACCCAGTCGGCCTAATTGTCTGGTCCGCTGCCGAAATGACCGTAACGATGATATGCATCGGCATTCCCGTCTGCAGACCTCTTTACAAGAAGTATTTCAGCAAATGGAGTTCTCGCAACAGCAGCAAGTATCAGCAGAACTCTGGTGCATCCTTTCCTCTGCAGACCATTGGTGGAAGTACAAAGTATCCAGCCCAAGTACACAAAAAGGACAGCACGTCTGAAGCTTCTGTGCAAGAGTATGAGCGAAGGGGCAATAGAAGTTCATATAACAAGCATAAGGTGTTTGCGAAAGGGGCAGAGAGGGGATATGGTGAGAATCAGAGTGAGGAGGAGATTCTGGGGCCTGACTTTCGGAGGAGTCAACGGCAGGACATTGAGGGACAATATTATTAATACTGGCTAGTGTATTATATATACGGCAAAGGAATAAAATGCAAGTAGTGCATAAGGACAAATAATAGTAGTATATATACAATTAATACATAAAATGGTAAAAGAATTTAACAGCAAAAATGGCAAAAGGAGACTCCGGTACAGGGAATCGAACCCTGGGCTCCGCGGTACTGATCCCTCAGAATATGAGAGCGCGAAATGTTAGCCACTACACCATACCGGATGTTATTAGAGTTTTACCTTCTTAGTGAGTAACATATAGGGTGCAATCAAGACAACAAGCTATTTGTTTCTCGCCAAACCCAGGGCCAGATTGTCGCTCTGCGAGCCTTGACGATGCTGACGCTGCGTTGCAATTTTGGACAATTATGGTGGGTTTTGGCTGCATTTAGCAGGTATATGTTTTACATCGCTGTCTCTTCATTTGAAACAGTTAGGAATCAGGTTCCACTACACGATGCTTGAATCCACGGAAACGAAGGCTGTCGCCAACCAGATGACTTTTCGTTGTCATGCCCAGACGAACCTAGTCACGATTTGTCTCTGTTTACATGCCAATAAGGTTATGTCCCAATAAATTTGTTTATTAAAAGCGATATTCTGTCCAGCATGAGTCAATCCAGAGACGGTATAGGTTAATTATTAAAAGCATCGCATGCCTGGATAAGTGCTGTGCTGGCTCAATTAACCCTTCAGGGCTTATCTCTAGGGTACGCGACGTCATTGATTAGCATCCACGCAAGCGTCTTTAATCGGGCAAGGTGCACGTCGAGTGGATAGCTGATGGAAATAAATCCGCTACGGCCCGGGATCCTGGGGAAATCTATCCGTACAAATCCATTAATTATCATGTGCAGTATGACTCGAATTGTTTTGAAGGGAGGACTCATTCCAGCAATATTAAAAGAGTCAGCCTGAAACTGCGCAGTCTGTTTCACTACGCCGCTGATCACGATCTTCGGGCCTTTCAATTAGATGCCCGGATCAAAACAACTTGGATCAATCCGGGATCAATCAAGAGTGAATTCCCCGTGAAAGTCATGCGATAAAAGTTTTCGCGCGAGAATCAGCGTCGTAATTGCCCGAGAAATATTCGAGATATTGAGTAAAAAGGAATAACAATCAGGGACAGAAAAAAGAAAACCCCGGCTTCCAGGCTCGTGTCAGCACTGCCCTTGGGTCAATGCTCATTTCCCGGCACACTCATTCCAACAATCGAGATCCTTTCGTTCCTCCAAGAATCACCTGCGAGCCTCGCTTTCTCAAGTCAACAAAACAAATCATTAAGGATGTCGCTGTCAGTTCAAGTCGCCCATTCCAAGCAAGACAAATCCCCCCCTTGGGCATTGAAACCCAACGCGCGGAAGCCATGGCAATTCACTGGGATACCCTGAGATTTTAAGATTGGCAGGTCAGGTACACAGACCATCCTATTGGCAGAATCCTTGGAACCCCCTGTAGAAATGGCCAAGTTGGGCACTGTTTGGGTTGTGCCGTAGACGCAGGGACCAAAGGGCAAAAAAAAACACACAGAGCACAGCCGATTAATATTATTATATCTAGGGGACTGCACAGGCAGAAGGAAGAAGGGGATCTGTATCTCATTCCTTTTGAACGCAGCGGGCGAAGTCTCTAGTCGCTTTTGTGAGAGAAAGCAACCTGTGCAGACCATGGCGCAAAGACTAAGCTTCGCCCAGCTTGAACAAGCTGCACTTCACATCATCCGTCTCATCGCCGACATTCCCGGCCTGGAGAACACCAAACTCGCCGTCATTGGCGATCTGGCTGTCGCAAAGTATCTCTCGCGCCAGAACCGCATAGCAGTACGTCTCCCCTCAATCGCGACCACTCTTGCGCACCACCAGCTAACACTGAACGTCACAGAGCATCGACCTGGTCATCAGCAAATCCTCCTCCCCCGGCCGCGTCAAGAAAGAAATCGTCGGCCATCCGATCAGTCCCCTCGTCGAAAAGTCCGGCACCGTTCTGTACCGCCACACAAGCGGCTGGGAGATCGAAGTCAAGCTCATCCCCGACTGGCTGAGCCCATACCTCCCCGACTCAGCGAAGCGCGTCCGCGACGTCACCAACGAAGCGACCCTCCCCTACACGTCGCTGGAGGACCTCATCATCTTCAAGATGGACGCCTGCGGTCTACACGAGAACGACAACAGCAAGCGACGCGATGCCTGCGACGCAGCCGCCCTGCTGGAGCTGGCCTCCGAACACGGTGCCCTGCGCCTCGACGAGGACAAGACAGAGCGTGCGGAGGAGGCGCTGGGCGATATGGTTGAGTTCTCTGATGAGAAGGACAAGGGCTGGTGGCAGCGCTGTCTGGGCATGGTGAACGATAAGCCGCGCACGCCGCAGGAGATCCTCTCCGACATCGCCGAGCGTCCCCAGACAGCATCATCGCGCTCATCAATCCACTCGTCCATCTCGCGCGCTTCATCCTACGCCAGCACGACATCCACGCACTCATCTACATCCTCCATCTCCTCGACCGCTACGTGCGACGACAAGTGCCCCAAGTCACCGGCCGAGAAGAACGGACGCCCTCGCAAGATGAGCGTCACCAAGAAGACGTCGCGTCACAAGCGGCACACGTCTATTGGCGCGTCTACATCCGTCAGCGCTCTCGACGCGCACATGCACCGCCTTGAGCTCGATCGCCCTGCGTCGCCGGGCATTGCTCTCACGAACCGTCTCTAATTTCCTTCTTGTTCCTTCTCTTTCACTGTGTTAGCGTTTTGATCTGTAAGCTTGGCTACTTGTACATCATAGGATACCCTCGATTATTTGTGGTTTAGCGTGTATTTTACTATGTACGAATTGGCGGGATATGTAATTGCAAAAGTTTGGGCCCGGATTTAAAAGTTTTGGAGTTTCGATCGCAAAATGATGGGGGTTTCAATTCATGTACATGTTTGGTGGGTTAATTGGATGTGTTTAGACCTTCTTTACTCTAGATTTTCTTTGTCAGTTAATTGCAAGCGATTTGTCTTATTTTTGTTGCCTCTTCTGATGTGTAGTGGTGATGCGATCGTGAGGATTGACTACCTCTTGCTCTAGTGATGGCTCGTTTTGGTGATTCACCACGTGCTTGCATAACTGTTGCTGTGACGTCGCAGACCAATTACTTCCGCTAAATATTTGTTGATCAAATGATTGTTATTATTTATTCATTTGCATTGACTCTAACGGATTTCCATCCCAACTGTGTTTGTTGTTGGTATCCGACAAGTAAAGTTGACTCATCGTCGAGTCATAGCGTAGTGACCATGTTAAGACAAAACATCACCAGCCAACAACCATTACCTTGCGGAGGAGGAGCATACACGTGCCTGTTCCGAATAATATAGCGACAGCGTGCAAGAACATGATTGCCCGTAAATTGACATTTGTTTCTCTCCCTTGGGTCCCTTGGCTACTCAATCCAATACCAGCACCATGTGCTTTCACCACTGTCGCCGGGCGTAACCAGCCACCTCGGCACGACACGACGCGGCCTGTGCATTCAAGGAGGCAGCCATAGCTAAAACCTTGACACATGAACCTGTCGCTGTCGCATCCTAACGCAGGAAACTTGGATCTTGTTTTAATTAAATACATGCCGAAATCCACTCCCGAAAAGCTTGTGACTTGGGGATCCTTGCCTGGAAATAACAGACCGAGGTCGCGTCGATGAGCTTTTGGGCTGGTCGGGCCGCATGCTCGCCTGAAATATGGAGATCCGGCTTCAAGGGTTTCTGATGGGTTATTACCGACCTAAATGACAAGGCGATTGTTGGTTCATTACTTCGTAGGTAAAACAAGATGGCGCTAGAAAGTATTACTGGAAGTTCAACCAAGAGGTCGATTCAGTCATATTGCATACGCATAGATACACACTCCCTTCAATTAGCGTAAGACGGGCTTCAAGTCGGCATCAGTCTATTGCGTCGATGACTCCGGGAATAGGCCGGAGATATATGGCCCGGCAACGGATTAACCTAAACCGCTCCATTGGACAAGTCCGCCCCGGGAGAAAAGAAGAATTAATCTGTCTTAGATATTTTATCTAAGAATAATAAAATAAAATAAAAATATAAAAATTAAGAAGAAATTATTATAAAATTAACAAATATTAAAGTAATAAAGAAATTAGTAAAATTAGTAAAGATTGGTCAATTCTTCCGAGCCCTGGTGATCCGCGTTTAACTGGGTGTCCCGGTTAAGTAGAAAACCACACTACGCTCAATTGGGAACACTCAGAGAACGCCAACTCGACGCGACAGACGAGAACACAGATACGATACACGAACATGTCGACTTGCCTTGAATACAGAACGTGAGCATAATAAAAATATGAGAAACATTAAGTGGAATGGGATGTATTGATGTCTTCAATTGAGTACGCTGAGGATCCCTCCCATTCATTCCTTGCAACCTCTATCATCTCTGAAGATATCGCCCCGTTTCCCATTCTACGTCCAGTGACCCGATCTCCCGAACCAGTACCCTTTAAACAGCCTGAGGAGTGCAATGCATGTGCCGTGTCTGGTAGTTGCCGCCACTACTTTGTTCGCTGACGCTTGCCACCACGTCCAGCCCGGCCTCCAGAGTCGCTGGCTCGCTTGGCAGATAGAGACGAAGCGATGGGAGTTTGGTGGTCCCCATCGTCACCGTCTTCAGATTTGATGATGCAACCCTCATCGCTCTGAAGACTCTGTTGATCATCCACGAAAAGAGAACTTTCCTCACGGCTGCTCTGCTTGGTAGTGTCCCCACCGCTGGGAGAGGCTGGGGCTCCGGTTTGGTTGGTACGCTCTTTAGGGTTGTTGGATGAGATGACTTTAGAGGACTTTCCATAAGATTTGTTGAGGAGAGCGCCGCCTTCGTCGTCAGGTACAGGGCCCCAGTCTGGTTCATTCTCGACTACGAGGCCGTCGTCGACAAAGAGGTCGACATTGTTTCTGTACTCAGCGAGTTCCTCCAACATTTCGTTGAGGCAATCTGCTAGAAGAGTTTTGTCGGGATTGCGCTTCCTTTCCTTTAGTTCTTGTACAAGAAACATCAGTTTGTGTGCCACCGATCCGGTATGCTTTCCTGCGTACATGTTTAGTTCGAGTAGCCAGGAAGAGGGGGGGTTGGAATAACATACGGGCAAGGCCGAGCATGTCAATATGACGCTGGAGATCTCGAGACAACTGCTGGATCTGAGAGTCACTTTTGTTCCGGTGTTCGTCGATGCAGCTACGGGCATGAGTTTCAGCCGCGGCAACTCGAGCGGCTGCATCCCTCTTCATCTTTTCAACGGTCTGTGTAACAGTGTTGACCATATGCACGTTGCGAGCCTCAAGATTAGTAGTGTAGCGAGCGACATGAGCCTCGGCATCGACCCTGGCCCGAGTAGCACCAGCCTCTGAGGCCTTGAGACGAGCTTCGAGATGAGCGACACGACCATTCGCGGCTTCAAGCTGTGTCTTGAGTTCAGCGATGATGGGACCGGATTGCGCAAGGGCTTTGTCTTCTGTGAATTGGCCACTGCGGTTCACCATATCTACGACAATACTGCAGATACGCTTCATATTCTGCTCGAAGGCAGAGAGATAGACTTCAGAAGATTCAAGGGAGGCGCCCCTGTTGTTGGAAGCCATGATGATGTCGGCCTCTGGCTGAGGAGTTGTAACTCTGTGCGGAGTGTCCCGTTGTGCGGTCGCACGATGTTTCTACGAACAAGTATCAGTGAGCCGACAATGATGAAAGGATGACGAGAAACCTGTGAAATTAACGAACCTGGTTGTCTTTCTGGATCGCCTGTGAAGCGAGATGTGAGAGGTGACAATGATGTAAAGTGGAGGTGTTGAGATCCAAGCCAAAATGTGGGAGGAGTAGGAATTCGCTACATTGAGAAGCTTATGCGGTGTAATATGAGGGGCGTCTGCTCAGATGAAAATCCTCATACATTTGGCTGTAGAAATCTTTTGAAACAAGACGTCAGCCTCGCCGGTATGCCTCTCATTCACTTGACCTACAAGGCCGACTAAAGGTGGGACTCTAAAGCACAGGCCTATCTCAAGGCAGCACTATATGCCGCATTTGAGCTTCAAAGCTGTTTTTAATCCCTTTACTGGGTATTTACGGAATATTTCCCAAGCCAGTGCCGACCTCAATGCTACCAAAGCTTAGTTAATAGTTTATCAACTCTTCAAAACGAGGTTCTCGACAAGTCTTCTCCGATATTAAACGAGCTCAATCCCAGATGTTCCAGAACAGAGACTCCAAGCCAAGTGGCTGAAGATGACTCCCTGAGCCATATTCCAGTTGCTGCAATGAAGCAGTTGCGCGATAGAGGCTACTCATTGCATGGCGAGTAACTTGCACTATTGGCAGATTCTACTATCAGTGGGACATCACTGATGTCATGTTGATGACTTCTGAGAGAACATGACGTTGTGAAAAGAAAATGAAGAACCTTGAAACTGCCAGAAAGAAAGAGTGGCCTTACGGGACAGAGTCTATTACCCCCAACGCTGATCTCGCAGTCAAGGGGTTCAGATCCCGTTCAAAACACGGCACCCAATAAGGTGAGTCCCTTTGCGACTTGTCCCATCTTCAATTGCCCAATCAAACACACGCCAAAGCGGATGGTCCCGCCCAATAGCCCCAAAATCTGACTGTAACCAAGCATGGATGAGGCACGGAAATAATGCTGATGCTGAGATAAAGACTAGTGAACCGTGTCAGACAGACGTCGTAGTCCAAACAGTAGCGCAATGATGATTAGCCCGTCAAACTTAAAAGGCAGCCGGTTACTAGATACCATATTGCTCCCCTCCACGACATCACTCCATCACAACTATATCTCACTTCATCCTTCAACATGTCTGCTTCTCTTATTCTAGTCACAGTCATTTTGGCATCACTATCCTTTCTCCTCGCCAAGCACATATCAGGATCTAAGAAACCCCCCTTGCCACCTGGTCCCAAAGGTATACCACTCTTGGGCAATGTCCGCGATCTCCCACCACCCGGGACCCTAGAATGGCCTCACTGGCAGAGCCACAAAGAGAAATACGGTCCGATAACTTCAGTTACTGTGCTCGGACAGCGCTTTGTCATTCTGCATGATAAACAGGTCATTATGGATCTTCTTGAGACTCGAGCGATGAAGAGTGCTTCACGGCCCAAGCTGGTCTTTGCTGGGGATATGTAATGACAGACATCTCCAATTGCATCTTTCTTATGCTGACGATCTGTAGCGTCGGGTACGATGGTGTCATGGGCCTGATGCCGTACAATCGAAACTTTCGAATGCATCGCAAACTCACAGCCACCCAAGTCAGCCCCAAATCCATCACCCGCTTCGAGACCATTCAAGAACTAGAGATCCTCAGACTGTTGAAGAGACTCCATCAAGATCCCAGCAGTCAGAATCTTCCAGACCATTTGAACCAGTACGTCTTCCTCCCATCTCCCAAAGTAGATACTCACAAGGCGGCAGAGTATCCGGCTCAATCATGCTCCGCATCCTATACAACTACGAAACGGACCCCGACAGAAGCGAGCACATCGTCACCATGGCTAATCTCGTGATGGAAGAGTTTTCTCAAGCTACAGCTCCAGGTGCATGGATGGTAGACTTCATTTCATGGCTTCGATATATTCCGGAGTGGATGCCCGGCGCTGGGTTCAAGAAGACTGCTAAGCTCTTCAGGCAGCATCTCCTGCAGAACGTCCAAGATCCTTACCAATACGTGAGAGATCAGATGACCAGTGGTAAGGACGATGTTTCCTACGTCGCTGGTCTCATCAAGGACGTTCACCGTAAGATTGATCCTGAGGAAGAGAGTGTCATCGCATGGACTGCCGCGTCGATGATGAACGCAGGGACCGACACCACCGGCGCAACACTTCTCGCCTTCTTCGCAGCCATGCTTCTCTACCCCAATGCCCAAAAGAAAGCCCAAGAAGAAATCTCTCGCGTCACCGGAGATTCACGCCTCCCCTCCTTCACCGACAAGCCAAACCTTCCATACATCACCGCCATAGCTCAAGAAGTACTCCGCTGGCATACCCTCGCCCCAATAGGTTTCCCGCACATGACGACAGAAGATGATACATACCGCGGGTACTTCATCCCCAAGAACACTCTTCTCTTCCCAGCGGTAGCATCTCTCACGCACGATCCTGAGGTCTACCATGATCCAATGGAGTTCAAGCCAGAACGGTATTTTGAGCCGTTTAATGAGCCTTCACCGTCGGATCTTGTGTTTGGGTTTGGGAGAAGAGCGTGTCCGGGGCGTTGGATCGCTGAGCAGACTTTGTTCTTGAGTATTGCGCAGACATTGGCGGTTTTTGAGATTAAGAAAGAGTTGGATAGGGAGGGCGAGGAGATTAAGGTTGGCTATGAGCAGTTGCCGGGCGTTATTTCTCGTGTCAAATCTTTTCCGTGTAGGATTGTAGTTAGGAGTGAGGAATGCAGAAAGTTTGTAGAGTAGACTGCCCGAGTTTCATTGAGATCCATAGTAAAAATGTGTAGAATGTTCATGACACTTCAAAACCCCCCTCTCAATCCTGGCTTCGCGTACGATACTTGAAGAGAATGAACAGAACGCAACCCGTCTAATTGATGTAGATATACCTTCTCGTGTTCTAGCTTAGAGGTGAACTAGCCCTGTACATGATACAGACCAACTCTCATATGCCCGTTTCCCCCTCTATTAGCCCTGAGATAATACGGCACAAAAACGCCCTCCTTCTCATCACCAAAACCCGATCCATCACCTCCAACAACAAAACCAGGTGTCGACACATCCTCATCCAACTTCCCACTGCGTCGCCAGCATGAGGTCCTCAACGCAATATACTCTTCATCCGTCCCACTAATACACAGCCTCTCTTCCTTGACCGCACTGCCCGCCTTGAGTCCAACGTCCTTGAAGTGATTTCCTTCCCACGTGTTGTCTGCATCCTCGATACAGTACACCAGTGGTCCTCGAGCAAGTGTCAGAGTGTGCTGGTTGGTATAGGGATGCGGAGCGATGTATCGAGGCGTGAAGTTGCCAATTGTCAGTGAGAAGACAGGATGAGAGGCCGTGTAAGCTGGATCGAGCGTGAGATAGCCTTTGTGCAAATGGAAACTACCATCGCTAGGCTTCGGATCAAGGGTATACTGATTCTGAGACCAGCCCGGAATCCTGAGTCGTATCGTGGTGTTGACCGACGCAGGGCTCGTAAGTCGAAACTTGACGAGTCCATCCCATGGCCAATCCGTCTCTTGCCGAAGAACAACCTCTCCCTCCCCAGCCCCAAACTTCAACTCCGCATTCGTGTACAAATGCACATTCACAAAAGCCTCCTTCTCCTTCTCCTCTCCAAAGTCCCAAAGATATCCCCCCAACGATCCGTACAAACGCGTCACGTTGGGCGGACAGCACGCGCACCAGAACCACTCCTCCCTCACACTCTTATCAGTCTCCGAACTCCCCAGCTGATTGACATACGTAAACGCCTTTCCATCAAGACTCATCGCCGTCATGACATTGTTATACAAACAAAGTTCCATGACATCTGCAAACTTTGCGTCAAGCTCGATATGCAGGAGTCGCTCGGCTAGCATCATGACTGCGATGGAGGCACAGGTCTCCGCGTAGCATCCGCCTTCATCGGTGGATTGAGGGAGGAAATAATCACGTCCAAAACCTTCCCATTGCTTGATGGCGCCGATGCCACCGGTGAGGTACATCTTTTTGGTTACCATGTTGTCCCAGAGGCGGTAGACAGCGTCTTTCCAGCTTGATGAGGTCGTGAGTGATTGAGAGCCGGTCGCATCGATGCAGAGCATGTCGGCTACCGCGGTGAGGAGATAAATTGCGCGTACGGAATGACCCTCGACGGTTTGCTGTTCCAGAATGGGTTGATGAGCCTGACAGTACCAGTGAGATCCGTGTTCGGGGTAAGGATCAGGGCGCTGGTAGAGACTCTGGCCACGTTGCTTTGCCTCCCATTCGAAGTAAAGCTGTCCATGTTGACCTTTGGGGTTACCTCGTTCTTCGAGGAAGTATCGAGACAGGTCGTAAGCGTTCTTGTTTCCGGTGGCTTCGTATAAGCGGAATAGAGCCAACTCGATCTCAGGATGCCCAGGATATCCGTGCAGTTGATCCTCGCCTGGTCCAAAAGTGCTGTGGATCAAGGCAACGTATTTCTCGATGGGCTCGAGAAGAAGGTTGTTCTTGTAGTACTGGTGGTGGGCTAGGGCTGCTTCGATGAGATGACCAGCGTTGTATCTGAAAAAATGAGTAAACGGACACAAAAATACGACTTCTACACTCACAATTCATGCATGTCCTGCAAATTCGTCCATCGCTTCTCCGGCTCCACAACAGTATAATGAACATTCAGGTATCCATCACTCTGCTGCGCCCCTCGAATCATCTCAACCAATTCCTTCACCGCAGCGTCAATCTCAGCATCAAACTCATCATAGAGCAAATAACAAGCGCCCTCGATCCACTTCGCTATGTCGCTGTCCCAGAAGAGATGGAAAGGTACAGGCCACATAGACTTGTCCGCGTAGATCTCATGCCATTGCAGTTTGAAGCAATCATAGCGGCCTGTCTCGCGAAGTCGTTTGAGCTGCGTGTGCAGTGTTGTCTTTGAGACCGTGGCCCTTCGACGGTGGAGGAGTGAACCTGGTGTCAAGGTGGTATGGGGGAAGATGGACTGGGGATGAGACATGTTTGGCGATATGTCGAAGTGAAGATGGAGGAATTGAATCTCAGAAATGATTCTGGTTTGACATGATATACTGATATGCGAGTCATGATTGACGATTGTTGATCAATTGGTGCATGTCATTAGTTCGTGGTGGGAGCCCGGACATCCCACCGGAGCTCCCACCGGGAACCAGCCTCAAAGAGGGGAAACGGGTCAAGTGCTCATGAGAGCAGTCATTTGATGCCCGAAAGAAGTCTGTCTGGTTAGATGAAGCGGCGAAAAGCCATTTTTTGCTTCTCTCGTGATGGTTCTGAACCTCGGTGATATGCCATGAGAATTGTCGCGATCCATATCGAGAATGGCCAATTCATAGAATTGAGCTGAACTGCAAGTATAAATACGTTGACTCCTAAACAAAAGAGAATAATTGTTACTGTACTATTACGTTTCAACTTGTTTCCCCAATATGTCGAGAAGCCTGACGTCAATTCGCCGATTCAATAAAGCGGAGAAGAACCTGTTCAATTAATATACAGGATTGGTGCGCCTAGTTTGATCATCCGATGTGACTTACCCCAGACTCTAGACCAACTCTAGCCCGATATGTCCATTCGCGAGTGGGGAAATCCCCGACCTCGCTCTGCATCGAATCACCCTCAAAAAACAACATCAATCACGCTTCAACAAGCTTAAAAGCGTCCGAAACCTTCTTCGCGATGGAGAAGTATCAATGTTCACAATGCCCAAGAAGCTTCAAGAGATCCGAGCATCTGAAGCGACACCAGAAAGGCCACGATAGCCTGAGGGGCTTTGAATGTGATGTTTGTCACAAGAGCTTCACGCGCAGGTAAGCGGCGCGGAGTAGTTTGATGCGAGAGGCACTGATTGGATGGAAGTGATATCTTGACAAAGCATGTCGCTATCCACGATCATCCGTCCGCTATGTCGAGACGCGATGTCGGGCGGCGTAGAGCGTGTTTGGAGTGCGCCCGGGCACGCGAGAAATGTTCAAGAAACCTCCCGTGCCTGCGCTGTTCAACCAAGGCACTAGAATGCGCTTATCCTCAGACCAGAAACAAGCCCGTCGAAGCATCTCCAGCCTCACAAACTGGTGTCGTTGCGCATACTCCGAACCAAACTCTCATCAGCCCAGTCAAGACAGTAGATCACGCGTCGCAGCCTCAGCACGTACAATCAGATCTGCAGCTCATGCTACCTTCACAACAGACACCACATTCACAGGACAGTCCTTTCATCGACAGTGCTGGGAACGAGCAGCAACCGGGTTTTGATTATGATCTGTCCACTTACGATATCGACTGGGACTTCCCCATCAATTGGCTACCGTACGACAATGAGATTGAGACAAACTACTGCTCGATTCTCGGCCTCGATATGAACCAGCCGATTGATGCTGGCGATGCAACCATGATAGATCAGCCAGTTCCCAGCTTTCCCATGATCGATGCTCCGCCACGTCGTTTGTCAGCCGTAACATCGCTTTCCCCGGGCAGTGGTCTAGGAGTTTCTCCCCAGTTGAGTATGAGTTCTGGACGTACCATACCCGGTGATCTGTACGCCACGAGTTCAAACGGCGCCCGACGTCCTTGTACCGCCAAGTCAAAGCAGCTGTTCCCACCGCCGGGCCTTCAAGGATATACACAGCTACCCACCATTTCCCAAGACTCAGCCCTCCGAGCCAATACGCTTTCGTTCCCTGATCTGAGCCATATTATCCTAGAAGACGAAGCGTACAGAGAGTCCTTCATGACAGAGTTGACGTACAGCAAGATCTGCGACGCTTTTAGACAAACGTGTCTCGAAGCCTCCATGTTCCATCAGCACTACACCTCCGCTGACTTTCCGTCACTGAAGCTACTCGAATACTTCGTCAAGCTCTTCTTTGAAAACTTCGACCCCATCATTCCGCTTGTCCATCCTCACACAACAGACCTAAACGGAAATTGGGTTCTTGCTCTAGCGATATGTGCCATTGGGAGCCAGTACTCCGCTACAGCGGATATCCACGCCTGCGTCATACCATTCCACGAATTTCTTAGAAGGACTTTGGTTACTCAACTGGAAGGGTCAGACTTGACCTTGCCGCTGGCTCAGGCTCTTGTGCTGAGTCAGGTTGGCCTGCTATACTCTGGTGGTAGTCAACTTCAAAAGGCTGCTTACGAGAGGATGGGGAGTCTGCAGAGAGTCATCACTTCCTATCTTTGCCCATCTGATTCTCAGCGAGAACCATCGACGGAGGTGCATGGTGAGGGAGAGGAAGATAGGTGGCGAGGTTGGGTTGAAGATGAGACTTGGCGTCGAGTGTGCTATTTCATTTGGGTGAGTTTATGCTGTTTGCCCTTTCAGTATCAAGACTGACACACAGCAGCTATTAGATCGCATGGGACGGTACTTCTTTGATGACCACCAGACAGGCACCTTCAACGTCGCGAACCTGACCTTGCCGCACGATGGCCTTTGGTCACAAGCAACCTCATCAGATTGGATACAACTCCATCGCCGCATTGATGGTACGCTTCTCTCACCCTCCCTTGAAGCCTCATACTTACATGCCACAAGCAAATCCAACACTCGAAGTCGCCATCGGCTCACTCTTCCGCGAACGAACCGCCAAAACCGATCTCGGTGAATTCTCGCGCATCCTCCTCCTGCACGCAGTCTACCAAGAATACACCACCGTCAGCACCTACTGCAAGCGCCCTCTCTCATCCTGGATCCCCCAGAATAACCCTGAACCTCGCAGCGACGAGACCCAGCACCTTCAGCTCTCGGACTCAAACTGGCGAAACGCTGCTCTCGATTGCGTGGATACGCTTCACTGGGCTGCCAATGCCACCATAGCGTCGTTGCTTGGAGCTGAGCACCCCACGGTTCTGCATCTGCACTTCTCGCGTGTTGTGCTGCTTGTTCCGCGGAAAGCGATAATCACGCTCGCGAAGTATCTGAAGGCGCCGGAGGGGTTGAGGAAAGAGGCTGCGAGTCAGAAGGAGGCGCTGCAGGCAGAACGAGAGATATCGGAGTGGGCTCAGCAAGATGGCGTAAGTTCTTTTGGGTACAAGTCTGATATGATGCTAACAGTATTCCAGTCGAAAGCTCGTCTCGCAGCGCTACACTGCGGCTGTTTCCTCTGGCACGTCCGCCGCTACGCAAAAATGACATTCTACGAACCGCCCTGCGTATTCTGGGCGACGCTGACCCTCTGGGCATACAGTGTATTCTGCAGTAAATCACGAAGACCTGAACAACGCAGCGGTAGTGCAACACGCCAGATATCGCCTGATCGATCAGACGACGAGAATCCTACGTTTATAAGGCTGGATCGACCGAATGATGATGAGATGGTGCAGCTGTTTGTCAGGACGGGCGTGTTGAAGGCATATATCACTGGTGTTGGGGATATTTACTCGGCGAATGCGCCGAGGAGGATATTGAAAGAGGGGAGGAGGGTTTTGGAGAGCGTGGCGTTGGCGTGGGGGAGGAATGGGGAGTATCTGGAGTTGTTGCAGGCTCTGGCGTGAGTTGGAGCATTGTAATTGTTTGCATGGGGTGGAAGAAAAGACATGATGATCAAATTGTTGTCTGCCCGTGCTGTGTCCTGTATTTGCGTGCGTAATTGCACTTGTCCATATATCTAGATGTAATTGTATGCGAGATAACCTTATGACTCTTTCAATATCTCGGGACGGCGAAGCGATCAACAGGGGCGCGGAGAAAATCGAGGGCCTTAACCCCAAGGGACGAAAATCTTTAGGTAAATTTAGCCTAAGCTTAGGGGACTCTATACTTAGCATACTCGGTATGCTCTTCTAAACCCCTAAGTTCTTGCTCTCCGAGTGGCTCATCGCAAACATTTCCTGACAGTCCATGTCCGAACCCATACAGGGAAAAAGCCACACATATGCAACCGTGGCAAGAGTTTCTCACAGAAAGAGGCTCTTACAGTCCACGAAAGGACTTACACAGGGGTAAAGCCGTATAAAAGCCATCATTGCGAGAAGAGCTTTAGAAGTCCACTAACGGACACACGATGGCACGAAACCATACGCATGTTGTTCGAGGGGGCGAGGCTACATACACCTAACGAAATAAGCTTCTCATTCATCCAGAAAACAGACATGGTATTACAAAGGAGTAAATGGTTGGGCTTGTAAACAGTTGATGATCAGAGGAACATCTTGGAGTTTATATTAATAGAGAATTAACGACATAATATATTCCAAATAATCCTTATAATGGCCATAAAGTGCAGATAAGAATGAAATCTCATTTAAATTGTATTATCAGAGTTCCATGCGATAGAGTAGAGGTAGTATTTACTACTATGAAGACCGGTAAAGTTAATAACTTCGAAGATCAAGCAACATGAAGTGCCAATCGGATACTTTAGAATGGCAACTATGCGAACGATTAATATTTCGGTGCGTTAAAATATCCCCAAGAACCCCATGCAATGTATCTGATTTATGACAAGAGAAAATATGTTGACGATAAAGAAAGATAGAACCCCAGGTCAGCAACCAGTCATGAGTCATCCATGCTGACTGCCGCTGCTGTATGGCCAATCAAACCAGACGGGCTTGTTGCGATTCATCGGCATAACGCTTCATTGAGAATACGATTTGCTCTGTCAAAAAGTCGATCCCTTTCTCTAACGCATCCACCTGTGCTCAAACGGAACGAGAACGGGTCTCCCAGGCGGCGGTCTCCCAGGCGGCAAGTTGACATTTCAGCGATTCGTTCTTCGCATGGAGAGTCTCGTTTCGTTCAACAGATATTTCCAGGACATAATTATATGTCTCGATTTGCTGCTGAAGCTTCTGGTTCATTTTGACCAGTTCGTTCATCCTATAGTCGCGATGTTTGGGACTGGCCTTGAGCTTGCAGGGATCTACAACTGAGTTCCGTCCAGCAGTCGGCCACTCAGGGAGTGACTCTTGAACGAGCTGCTGAGTCGTGGCGGATCGATTTGGATGCTCTGACCCCTTGCTCGTGTTCCCGCTCAAGGGTAGATGCTGGCACTTTGCCAACGTCGATGGAATAGATGCTGAAGATGTATGTCTAGAAGATGACATGGCAGAGGATGAAGGTGCAGATTGTGAAGTGGTTGGTCTGGAAGAGGAGGGACCAGAGGACGAGTGCGCAGACCTTGAAGCCTATTGGGTTTTGTTGCGACCTTCGTGGCCTGACTTGCGGCGCTTATGGCGGTGAGATTGAGAGCGACCACCAGAAACGACAATAGAGGCGTTTGATGAAGCTGTAGGAAGTAAAAAGTTAGCTGCGCTCAAGGAATGATGGATGGCAAAACATACAGCTTGCCGAGGAGGCGCCAGACTGAATTTCAGAAGCAGTGATCAACACGTCGTTACTGATATAAAGGATCTGGCGATCTCATGGGCTTTCAATGGTTCGAAGCGAGTCGGCATTGAGAAATGCTTGTAAGGCCCTCTTGATCTAGGCCTGGTCGGTCCCTTTTTGTCGCTGCAAGGCAATTGCATTGGCAAAAGCCGGATTTGTCATCACAGCCATGAAGAACGGCCAGTTAATCGCTCGGTGCTTTTGACACAGCCAGTGGCTATCGAGTGTGTTGGTCGTTTTTGTTATAGTGAGTCTGTTGGTGTACTCGACCCATAAAGCTCCCTGGCTCCGATTCCTGTACCGCCCCCAAGTCGTCCACGCTCGAATGTAGGCATTGTACCACGAAACTAAAACAGTTCTGCCGACGCGAGTTGCTGTTGGAAATCCAAGAGGTGGATCAACCGGCTGCTCATCAGTCACAGCATCGTCGTCGTCGGGTTCCTCAAGTGCGACATCGATGGAGATGTCCGCAGGAGGCACAACCGGGGGATCAGCTTGGCTTGTCATTATTGGCAAAGCAAGAAGTAATCGCGAATTCTTGACGAAAAGAATGAAAGACTAAAAGGACCTGTGGTGATGTTGAAAGTGACAATGGAATGGCGATAGAGGATGAGATGGTCAAGTATCAATGAAAGCGCCCTAGAAAAGAATGCGAAGCTAGTGCAAAGATGTCCTAGATTATGTTTATATTATGGAAATGTGTTAATACGCCTATCCTGATGTATGCGAATGTAAACACTGATGGCGTAATCAGGCAGAATACTCAAGCTGCCCGTCCACCCTTTCAAATTCTCAACTCTTCACTCTGCACATATTCTTATCTACCACGATCAACATCACGTACAGAGAGAATTACCTTCTACGACAGTCATGGTAACAGAAGACAAACCGTCATCTCCTGGCCGTCAACATGGTGAGGCCTCAAGTGCAGCATGGATATTATTCGTCACCTCAAGGCAACATGCATTTCAGCACGACTCGATCAACGGCCAAACCTTACATCATCAGGGCCTTTGGTGAAAGGACCAGGGAGAAATGATATCCCAGAAACGAGGAGTATCAGGCAATGTCGGGGTTCCCTCAAAGACTACTGTGGAGATACCCAGAAGGAGCAGAGCGTAGAACACGTGGGTATGCCCAGTGATACAACCAGACGGTAAGCTGCCCGTCTGTCATCCCCGTGTAGGCAACGAGTTCCTCTTGCTAGCCTAAACTTGGGGTCCTTCACTCCTGATTCTGCATGCCGAGCCTCTTATGTTCAGGCATAAAGGGTGTATCTTTGGTAACTCCTTCGGGCCGCCAGCGTATGCGTACTAAAGGAGGGTGACAGGAGCGTATTATCGCACAAAGCCTTGAACGCGAGGACAAGAACGGGTAGGAGTCTAATTTCCTCTATCCAAAAGCCGCGCAAGGCCAGGGCTGCAGCAGCATGGGTTCATCCTGCGTGGCATCCTCAGAAAAGCGACTGTAGTGCACAATGCTTAACATGCTCGTCATTTTCGACGGCCTTACTCTCATGATTTACAATACGAAGAACACAAAAATCAACATCTAGGCTGAAAGAGAAAGCTACGGAATATAATGCTATTTAGAGAGGCGTAACGGTAGCGCCAAATGTTTGTCAAGGTTATGACAAATATTATGTACATGTTTGATGACTTAAAGATGAGTTTATGATAAAGGCTTAGCAAAATTTGGATTTCTTTTCCTTTTTATTTCTTGACCCCTACCCAACTCTTGCTGTATTTGGCACGATCAGCATGTTTCACCTGGTAAATCCAACAAGACTGTCCAAAACTCGGCAGAGCCTTTTGTCGATCAACAGCCACTGGCTGTGCCGGAACACGCGAGTTATCGACTGGGCGTTCGTTATCACAGTGATAGCGAATCCTGAAATTGCCGATATAATCACCCCTAAGCAAGAAAGAGAGCCTTAGAAGCCTCTCCCAACGCCGACTCGCTTCGGACCATCGCCGGCCGATAGGATCACGATGCCCCTCATATCCGCGGCGACGAGTTGATCCCTGCTCTTGCTGAGGCGTGCAAGCTCTACGAGAACTGCCAGCGCATGATTGTCGCCTATGCTAACGAGATGGCTAACACTTGCGCCCGTGAAGGAGTTTATGGAAACTCACTGGGGATGTTAGTTTTCGTCCAAGGATATTGACCTCAACTCCCTCCCAGCGGGCAAACAGGCACAAATTTTCGCAAACATCAGCATCAGGTATTACACCGAAATGAAAGGGACGGAGAAGGGCCGGGGTCGTCGGAAATAAAGCCCCTGGCGATCGACAGTGATGAGGGGTCTAAAGACGCATCAGACGACAACGCAGCAAGAACCTCAGGCTCTGGGAACACAAACACGTTTACTACGATCAACAATAGTAAAGTTCGATGATGTTGATACACCACCAGACGTCAATACACGCACCGCGGGGTTCAGTGGCAAAGGTATTTCAGCAAGCACCTCTGAAGGCACCTCGGGGTTCACGAAACTGCTCGCTCCGGCGTGACAGCCTACTGAGGATACCTGTGTTTACAAAGTCCGGGCTTGCCTAGACTTCCAGCAGATTACTGACAAAGATGCTTCAGCAGGCACCGTTACAGCAACCTCGGGTTGTGCTGGTACTATCAACCCGCCTGAAGTCAATGCTACAATCTCGGGTCCTGGAAATGCAGATACACCTTCAGTTGCTGTTTCTGAAGGCTCGGGCGACGACGGCAATGGTAACGAACCCATCGAGGTATTCAATGTAGTGGATGCAGTGGTAGACAGGCTCATAAGTTCAGGACAGAGCCGGGCTTCGGTGCATTACGAGTCCACTACAGAGGGGATGATATCGGCTTCGCCGGTACTGCTGCCTCATCGCCTATTGAGACGGTTGTGTCGTGTCCCAGAACTGTCACAGGGTTGTCTTCTGACAACACAACTGATTCGTGTGAGGCGCGTGATGTGAGCATCAGGAAGGGGTCTATCAACTCAAAATAATACTCTTGTCGGATTAGTTCAGGCAGTAAGTATGCCAGCTACCTAACACAAGTGCCCAATATAGCAACTGATTCGCCGCCCAGCATTCCAGCAGAATCATCGTCTGACAATGCATCCAACTCCTCTACCGGTATTCACACTCAGGCATCTCCTGACACTCCAAACGGCTCGTGTACTGCCAAGGTGGCTCATCTATCTCCTGTTAGAGTGGCTGTGTTGTCCACTGCCAACACGTCAAAGGACAAGAGGAGGTTGAGACCAAACTTCGTGAGAAGTCGAAGGTCGTGCTCGAGGATCTCATGGGTAAAATGGAGTCACTCAGAAAACGACAAGACTATCTCAGAAAGGATGCCCCGGAGTGCAAGAAGACTTCTAACATTAAACTGAGGTACTAAAAATACTTAGTCTAAGATTCTCTAAATCTATACTATATTATACCAAGTTTACCTATGGCTTTTTGTTACCTGGCATAGAGGCTCCAAGTTTTATTGCATCCCCTTGGATGTCAACGAGGTTTACGGCAGAAGATTCAGTGAACACCAAAAAATGCTTTGAGACGCCAACCAATACCTGATGGACGGGGACCGGAGGTGCAGGATCAGGTTACCAATTTTCACTCCTCTTTGAATACGATTACTGAAAACCACAAGAATCTCGAGAGCAACGTGAACCGCGCTTTGGACGATATCAGCAATGCTGAAAACCAAGTGTCAGACGCCAAGGCAAGCGTAGATGCTTAGTCGACACGGCTATCTGTTGCAGAGGGGACACAGGCTGAGATGATGAAGTCATTGGGTAAAATAAAAGGAAATCTTGACATCGTTGCTAGGCAGATCGAAGAACTTGCCTCTAATAATGGTCGGAATCAAAGAGCCGCTGAACCGTCTGATAGGGGACATGGAAACCGACCGCGCACAGAAGAGGATCGAGTCGAGTGAAGCGACGAGAGGGAAGAGGTTTGTTGGAATACTACCCGACATCTCAAATCCACCGAAAGATCCAAGACATTGATCATATGAGACCTGGGCTCTGTTGCTGTTGATAGGGTTAAGATGGGGTGGATGCTATTGCAAACCGGGAAAAGGATCATGTTGTTTCTGGTCTTGAACAACGCAACTGAAAACGTAATTATGCTTGATAATTATCTGCGATTAATACAATTTGTAGTGTTGCACAAACATACACCCGACTCCAGTAGTCATCGCTGTACAATACTGATCGTTTCACCCTGCCAACTGTGCGTGTAGCCGAAATCATTACGCGCCACCTCCCAGGCATGGGAAGCGAGAGGAATGATTTGCCGTACCAACCAAGTTACTCATGTTTCTATAACAGGACTGTCACACGGCTTGAAATTTGTTGTCCAGATCATCACGCCATAACTCGGCCGCCCAACCGTCCTGATATTGACCGAGTGGGACGAGCTCGCCGACTAGCTAGCTCCCCCATGATTTCACCAACTGCGTAAGTTGTGACAGCTTTACCCTTCGCGCACATCACCAGCTGAATCGATAAGTGGATTAACTCGCGAGAGCTTGGTGACTATACAGTCACAAATGGAGAGCCAGCAGAGCTGGCATTGTTTCTCTGTTAATAAAATTGTGCTTGGGTCATGTGGCCATGCCAATTACTGACCAAATGGCTTTACCCAGCACGATATTTGCTTGGCGTCCAAAGATTCATAGTGATGTTGATGAAAATATTGCTGTCGTCCTGCCAGTTTATGTCAGGGATTGGTACATTGCAACGACGCCGCGGACGACCAGCACAATGATTGAGGGCTTCCGATTGGAGAAAAGGACAGGCAAGACCCTCCTTCACCCAACAATTTTGCTGGCGAAGGCGACTATTCTGAAGAAATTCATCTACTGAACCAGCGGTACGCCAAATTTTTTTATCGCCAGCTTCAGTGGGGGAACTGGAGCTGGGATTGGAGATTCTCACCTGTGCTCTGACGGCGATTTGACTGACTATTGACAACCTGTAGTTATTAGTAAATGGCAATTGAGATGCCTTCAACGAGAATAATATTTCTTTCGCAGGGTACTCTATACTCGGAGTGGTGGTTTTAAATGACATGATACTTTTCTGAGTTAATGGGCAGGTGCAGATTGCCCACGTTGAATTGGAATTTTTTCCTGTCTTGACTTGATTTATTTCGTAAGTATCAATAAGAAAAACAAAAGTAAAAAGTTCCTTCTGGAGAAAAACAGTAAAAACGGAATAATGCGAATTTTACTTTCATACGACATTGCTTTCGCTGAGATATGACTATTGAAAAAATCTTTCTCTTCATTGATAGGAATAATCTGAGGTTGCGCGCGACAAGCTGAAGGTGGATGGAGGAAAGGAGAAAAATACAGGATAAGGTGCGGGGAAATGAGCAAAAGGAAATTGGAGCGATTTCCTAACGACCTGCCCCTCGTCTCTTCCGCTTTTGCAAATATTCCAATCCACCCCCGCATTCAAGATTTGGCGCTACTACTAACTCAGCGAGTTTGGGAGTTTGGGAAGTTATATGTTTGAGATCGGCTCCAAAGCACAGGAATAACTTCGAAGGCGTTCCATTTCATTTACAAAAAAAAAGAAAAAGGAAAAAAGAAAATATATACGACAGTGCAGAATGGAATATTTGACGCCGTATCTTGGTGCACCGAGAGACTTTTTCACAATAGTTCTCAATCCCCTGGGATGGAGGCTTCTGTTGCCCGCTGCCTAAGTCCTGAGGCTGCCTTTAAGTTCTATAGCATTCACTTTACTCCATGCGACGATATCGTTGCTGAACTACCAAGCTGGTTGAAAATTACAGAGCGTTGATGAATGGACCATCAATACGTCTTGCTGTTGATAATTAGCACAATAAATTGGTTATGTGCCTTCTATTCCTCGCAGGTGAAACGTATGATGTTGTCGCGAGTCTCGTACTACTTGGCTGCGTGTGTAGTTACGCTTCGCACGCTAGAGACTCATTCGATTGACATTGTGGCGCATACATATACCTGAGTTATAACAAGTAGTCGTCGCGAATCATGTGAATCTAAGCTCTTTAGCGACAGGCCTCAATTGCACATCGCACCTGCACCTCGTAGACCTTCGACATGCGACGAATACGGCTCCTACAAGTTCATGGTCATGTCAGGGATGATACAAAGGTCATAATATCTAGAGATTGGAAAAGGAAAGTTCAACTGACTTTTCGAAGTTGATGTAAGAGATCCAATATATAAATGTTTACAACTGTTTCAAGGCGAGTAGTATGATACAAGTTGCCACTGATAATCGTTTGGAGCTTTATGACGACGCTGTCATCTTCCGTTTAATGGAACAAGTACACAGGTATCTAATGGAGGGCCTGACAGCTGCTCCAAATCCTTGTAAAATGCAGCTCAGGCTAGGTAGTGCTATTACCTGAATGATAACGAGGGAGGCAGGTTCTCAGGGCATTCAACTGGGCATTTGCAGGGCACTCTCATTTCACGGAGACGCTGTGCACCTTTCGATATAATCGAAACTGAATATGATGAACTCATACTCTTGCTTATCCAACAAGAACTGTTCTCACGGAAAAGTAGGCTAAGAAAATGCTGCATATCATTTATTAAATATAACTTGCCGTGTCAACTTACCGGCGCTTGTGCAGCGGTACAGAAGGAGGCCAGTGGCTGGGGTGCATACCTGTTAAATTAAGTTGTCTACAACCTACCTGTAACGTACTATAGCTTAGAAAGCCTCGTCCGGTAACATACAATAGCTACTACAAGAAACCTACCTATCTTCCTCCTTCGACCGTCTTGATTGAATCGCTAAGTCGTATCCGAACTGGCTACGAGATGGCCATCATCAGTCTGGATCTCGAAAACCTCAGCCACTCTGTCCCTGTACGTCTGGTTAAGAACCATTCTTTCATAACCGGCTCCATCGTCCATGATCCATGTGATGGTCCATTGAGGCCCGTTGAGATGCTGGATTTGCTGAATTAGAGCCTGGACATCCCATGCAACCCCAGTGTTGAAGTCAGTGGTCAAGATCGTCGAAGTATGGTTGACCAGTCGATCAATGGCTTCCAAGTCTTGAACGCATATCCTATCGTGGTAGATGTGTGAAGGCGAAAGAGAAAGTGTGCCACGCGCCACCAATATCTCCTGCGCACGGCACCAGGCAACATCTCGATGAAGTATGCGCTGGAACAAATCCGTACAGTAGTCCTGGTTTCCTCCCGCCTCTAAGACTAGCGTGAATGATTCGGCTGGGATTTGCCGTTCTTCCATAGCGATCGCCTCTTTGAGCCATGGGAGGATTCGTAAACAGAACAATCTTTTGTGTAGCTTCTGTTGCCTTTCCCGACCGCGGTGTAGGTAGGTTGATACGGCGGCAGGGGCTTCTCCGATTCCAAAAATGCAATCTAGCATACTGACGCGACGCACAATCTGCAGTGATGAATTCTCTTGGAGGAAAGGGACTAGGCCTTGAGCATGAGTCTCGGGGTTTTTCACAGATTTGAAGTCTTCGTGCAATACGATCTTCTTCATCAAAGTTCGATGATTAGGAATCCGCTTGAGAAACCTAATTGCACTCGCGGCGGCTGAAAATCGTATTTTTTCTCGACAACGGATACCCTGAGGAGCACGTACAAGACTGTCAGAATCATGGCCAGGAGATGTAGTGATTTCTTCGTCATTGTCAGCATCGTCCTGCTCTTCGTCACTGTCAAGGTCGTCGATATAATCGGCATCGTCTCTTGGCTTGGCATGCCACATAGCCGGGCGTCTCCAGATGTCACCAAGCCCTAAGAGTCTGATCACACGCTTCAATTGGCTCTCAGATGGGATAGCCCAGTCATCGTATCGCAGATCCAAGAACTGCTGTACTGGATCTGCTGCAGTCCATTGCGGAAAGGTTAAGCGAATGTGATTAGCAAACTCGACAGGCCTTTGCTCTGCCATAAGTTGCAAACAGTACGACAGAGGATCTTTGATCTCACAGGAGGTTGCAGAGCAAATCTTCGAAGGATGACCTGGGCGGTATCTCTGATGGATCCTGGCGAACCCAGCGTACGATTCGTTTGGATTGACCCAATTCTTAAGAATGTGTCTAATATGCACACAATGTGCTCCTCTCGACTCGTAGACGGGTTGCGATTCTGCATTCTCGAATCCAGGGTCAGATCCCTGCGAAGAGGCCTCCCCGCCTGCCACCTGGTCGTTGGTGTCGTTATCGTGACGAATGGGATAGTGCTCTCGATGGTTGGCCGACGCGGTTGCAAACTCTCGCGCAAAATCGGGATACTTCGATGCGAGCTGCGATTGCATGTCTGGTGTCATAAACTCAGCTACATGAAGGGCAAAGTCCAACTCCAAGTGTTGATAGTACGTAGCAACAACGTTAAAGCAGCCAGCTAGACTTCGCCAATCCTCGCGATACAGAGTCAAGAAGGTGACCGAATTGAGGGATAAGGGGAGATGCTTAGTTTCGTTGGCGATGGTACGGCACGTGAAGATGAGGGCGAGGTCAATCGGCTGATCGTCACTCGTCTTGAGCTTGTCGGACTTCGCGTCGTAAACGTATCCACCGTCGACATGGAAGTAATCGCGATAGATCTGCGACCGCAGCTCTGATGGGAAGGCAAGGAAACTTCGATTGCTCGACATGATGTTATGATGTTGTTGAAGCAAGGACTTTACGTTGTATTTTTGGTTCTGGGTGATAAGCAGGTGGAGGAAGCAAAATTTTGAGGAAGACGCGGGGTTTTTATAATAATTCTACCGCATGAGTCATAGGAACGTAGAGTTTATAATGGCGGGGTCGACGAACCTTAAATGAGCCAAAGCCGCAAGCGACAAAAGCTAAATATTCTTTTTGTCATTTTTATCCACTTTGCTTCTGCTCAGTCTATGGTCTAACCTCTCTCCAACTACCGATGGCCAAAGGTTTACACTTTAGGCTGCAGCCCCTCAGGCAACCGTAGTAAAGATGTGTTGTCTTACCAGCTGAAGCTTAAGGTAGCTTTTCAAGGCGACTGCATAAGTATCTTGCCAATTGCTGACCGTAAAATTAAACTTTAGGCTGCCATTGGATAATGACGTGACACAATTTGTCATACATTATTGTTCAAGCTGGAAACCTACGACTCTTTTCCATCAAATCCCCGTAAATGAAAATTGCAGCATTACAGTACCTTTAACAACGTTAGCAGGGCAGACCTCATTTATGCCCACCTAGTAAGGGGGACCCTGTAGACCCCACGCCTCCCCCATGGCCAAATGTTGATGCTATTTTAGCGAGCGAGCTAGCTTCATGGTAGTATTGCTAGCCATGTCATTCCTTACCACTTTGCTGCTTGGCAGGCCGTGGATGTACTTATCGACTTCCCGCTCAGTAATTATCTGTATCATGCCCAATCGAGGGTTATCTAGATCCCATTGGGGGGGGTCGCAGCTTTGGTATGAACGTGTGAGAAGTCTCAGACCACAGGTTGTTCTTCATCCAGGTCTGCATCTCCTCTTCAGTCTAGTACGTAATAACGCGCGTGTCCTTTGCCAAAGGCTGCATGCTGGGCGCAGTCTGCTGTTGCGCCCTCTGGACGGTTCCCTTGACCACACTCCAAACTTTATTTGTGAGTTACTGTCTTGGCTATACAGCGGCAGTGTTAGCGGCCTCTTTGATCGGTTTGACTCTAAAATTCTCGTTCAGCTTCTTTTTGCGCTCGGCAGCACTCAAACCTGGGGGCGATTGTGGCCGCTTACTAAGATTCATTGGTTGGCTGGTCGGTATTGACGCGTTCCTGAGTTCGTTAGGTACGTGGTTATCCATAGCATCCTTGACGTTGACGAGAAACTGTTCCCCCAACTCTTCCAACTCGTCAGATGCATGATTCGAAGTCGAGCTTATTTAGCGATGTCATCTTGTCCTGGATCTCTGCTTGATATCTCTCTAAAATGGCCTTACCCTACTTGTAGAGAGAGAATTGTCGAGCCGTGGTTGGATGCTGAGGACTGTACGAACTGGGAAGTGGTCAGACTCGTGCCAGCAGAACTCTTTGTTGACTCCAGAACCCAGAAACCGATCGGCGATATCCCGGCAGGCAAATGTCAAGTCAATACAATACTTCGATGATCCATGGGTATAGTTACGGGTGCCACTTTCGGCGAGAAGATTCTTTCCCGATCACAACATCCCCTCCACAAGTGCCCTGGCCTTTGCACATATTCTTCTGGGCTTCAGGAGCGAGCCAGCCCACAAAAGGCGGTGGAGGTTAAAGTCGCCAACTGTAACTTGGAGGCCAGAAGCGCGTGCTCAGCGAACCCGGGGATCGATCGTAATTTGCTCCTCAGCAGTGTTAGTGTTATGAACATTATGAATAGATATCTCACCCAAAGTAGTTCTCGAGTAGAGGGTAGCCGCAAAGCCTATGTTTTTATCTTCGTGGAATTCGACACGCCAGGCATCTAGTGGGATGGACTTGTAAACACAAAAGAGGACTCTGGACAAAGTAAGTGCTTTATAGGGTGGCTCTTCATCTTCTTTGACTTCTTCATACAGTGCTTTAAGTAATTACTTCGTCTTCGTCTTAGCCATCTTACGGATAAGCTTCTTATCGTTAGGGATATCGCCTTCGACAAGCAGTCAGTCCAAATCGATCACCAAATAGTAACTGAAACTGCTCGCCCAGGCGACCTCTTCTTTAGTTAGATCGCCAAGAGCCAAGATATACACACCAGGGCCATTAAGTCCGCTGTGTTCATCACTTATGATCTGGCGGAATCTAAACCCCGACTGCATCATGCTTCCTTGCGATTGACTATCCCAGACGACGGGTTTTTGATCAGACCCTCCTAATCCTCTGGGCTTTCCCAGACTCTTGACTTTGTTCCTGCTCTTATTTTCCCCACCAACTCGGTCTTATCGATGATAAGCTATGGTGAAAGATCAAATAAGGGGACAGAATTGTATGGAGGACGGCTTCCCTTTGAGAGGTCTTTTGGGAGGGCTGCCGCTTAGCAGAAATTGACGAGGGGGAGAAAGCTAAGATGATAAGGAGATGGTAAACAGCCAGCACAAGACAAGTTACAGGATAGGCAGTTCCCATCCGAGTGGCGTCCTATCCGTCCAGTTATCTTTCTAGGGACCTTGTTATTACCTAGCACTAAGAGAATGCTAAACTTAATTGCATCGATACGTCGTTGCACGTCTACGCTCGATCCCTTGTAGCCGATGATTGGGACTTTGAACTCATATTGTCCGTCGGAGGTCACGACGGTGAATGAATATCTCAACTCGGGGTGTAGGAGCCATTAATAGCGAGTGTTTCGGGTTTGGTTCCTTCAGTTTGAACATAAGGTATTTCTTTGCGTTGCTCAGGTGTGGTGCGTTGACGACGTCGGATGCTTTCTTGGGGAAGAATCCTTCTTCTGGACTGGCGTCTTCGTCGTCTGCCTGGTAACGGCCCACGGGACCGTATTTGTCATTGAACACCTCCTTCTCATCGGTGATTCCGCAACTATGTTCTGTGTCTCTATGAGTTTATCCAACTTGTTCAAGAGTTGTGCCCGGAACTGTTGCTCGTCGTTGTCATTTCGTGGTTCGGCCATTTTCGCCAGGAGTCTTGTGATCACCATGGACTTCGTCACGGCACTGCTGACATCAGAACGGGGAAACGACGCAGCACTCGTCGTCATAGACAAATTCTCCAAAGAGACAATTATGCCAACTACCAAGAACGTCACCGCCAGAGAAACGGCAAAAGTCTTATAAAACACACTACCCTAAAGGAGCCCTAAACTTACCTAAATCTTGCCATAATTTTAGATTTAGTAGCAATACGTCCAGCCTATCTATCACCAGATCCAATACCAATCACCTCTGCAATAACAAGCATCTCGATAACTTTATTGTATTACTTACTATTCCTGAGGTACATAACCCTGTTATATTATGGATAGGTAATAGTACTTCTGAAAATATTTTTAAAACTCTAACTATAACTCTAAGTACTATCTAAACATGCTATTAGCAGTATAATTAAAACTTACTGATCCATCTTATCCCTAATAGACTTATAGACATCTTTACGATATTAGTACGTACGTTATGCCACTATTCCAGAATGTGGCATATATTGCCGCTCTCTTTGCGATATTCTCGCAATCATATTACCTTTCCATGATCGGATGGGTATCCTGGAGAGGTGCAAGGCAACACTGAGGTCTGAAGTGTCCAGAAGCAGACTGCTGTATGACCTGCTTGCGATGCTGGTAAGACTTTTGCCTGGCGCTTGTTGATAGCTTCATTGTGACGACAGGCAATGGCAGAGCAGTCCGCGTACTGGCAGGAAAATCCGTGAATCCTAATATCAGTTAGCGACATAAATATACAGGACATAGATGTCGCAACACTTACATTGCGTAAGTTCACACGTACAAAGTCAAAGGCCTGAACTCATGACTGACTGGGAGGTAATATTGAAGGAGAACTTGAGTCGGTCGGCGGCGGAAGGTGGAAAAATGAGAGGCAATGCCCTTAGGCTCAGAACCAATTCCACATCCTCTTTCTTGGCGATCTTGATAGGTCAACTGCAGGATGGGATGAGGTCGTTGTCATTGAGTAATAATTCCGACAGCTTGGATCGTGGCATGTTTCAGCAACGCAAGGCGGCCCTTGGTATAAGTATGACACCCGTCTGATTTCATGAAACCACTCATGACTTGGCAGATTCAGACGAGGTAGTTTCTGGGATGGATACATATTGAGCATTATAAATCGACTATATTGAAGACTGATGCACGAGTTGTTTTTCTTGTGATTGCGCCGCGGGCAAGGTCGACTCTTGACCGACGAAGAAACCGACCCAGGAGTGCAATGGTATCTACATCTTTTGAAGAGAAAATACGGGTCCAGTATCCTGACTAGACCTGAACCAGAGGAGTTTTGATCAATGTAGATGCAGCGTAGCTCAGGTAGCAACCCGGATAGACGCTCTGGCGCAAAGTATTGTGCGCACTTTTGTCGAACGGGCTGAATGGCTTGCTTGATAGTGGAAAACGGAAGGTATATCGTTCCTTCCTTCTTGTTGTAAGCATGTGGATTCTGTTTTGGAGCCAGATTGGGATTTGTAAACGTGTCGTAGTTAAGACTCAGGTAATACCGATCCTTACTTCGAACCAGTGATGCTATAGGGGCGGCGTAACTTCCGACGGAGCAGGGCGTGCGGTGACTTGGATGATGGCAGACCGTAAAGACACATCTTTGTGTTGCCCCCCTATACGGAACCGGGTCTGTGATGAGTCTCTTGAAGTCGTCCCAGTAGATTACCTTATGCTCACAAAGACGAATATAACCTGTCCTTGCAATACATACTTTCTGACCAGCTGAAAAACATGAAGATGGATGCTCAACTCTACAGGCCAAACAGTATTCCCAGTCTGATACATTTCGGGCTGCAAATTTACAGCTTAGTGACATGCCCTGTTTCTTGCGGGCGTCGAGACCTTCTTTGCATGCAGTACATAGACTTTCGTTTCTGATAAGGTCACCGAGTCCTTTTGAGTCTTCTCTGTTGATCTTGTGACCAAAACAATGCCTTTCGTCGGAGTAGCCATCGAGGTGCCACCAGCTTGAATAGTACGGACGTGGCGGATCATCACACACTTGCCACAAAGCTGTGGGTAGCGCACATACTCTGCAGCAGTCGTTATTCGAGAAGACGTGTGAAAGAAATTGACGATCCTGAGTAAGTCGTCTGAAACGTCTGGAGACTTGACGAAGGACAAAGAAGGCGAATATGGAAGGTCGATCAGTCCCTTTATATATATGCTGAACAATAACTATCATGACCTCGTCCGGTAATCCATTAAGCTCGGGTCTTGGGGCCAGAGTAGTAGTAAGGCCGGTCACATCGATTTCTATTGTCGATATTCATTAACGCTGTAGGAGTCCGGAATTTTATGTATCTACCTGACGGCCTCGGCTTCGCAAGACAGAGGCTAAACAATGCTTGGAGCCATTTGAGTATTATGAGTAGTAAACACATGATGGATCGGGGTTCGTCTTTGAAGTTTCTGCAGCTATTTTGATGAATAAGAAATGAAAATATAAATTAATTAAACGGAAGATTTTACTACACATCCCATGGTTGAGGGATGTCTTTTATACGTGGCTGAGTAGAGTTTTGATCTTTTGCACAGTGCATAATAGAAAGTTCAAAACTTTACGCCATCTCAAAGCTCTTATGTTAACCAATGAAACAAGTCTTATATCAAGTCCAGTACTGTTAAGTTTCGAAAAGAAGCGGACCAAAAAGCATATTAAACGTCACGAAGAGGGAAGAAACCTAGGGCCCTTTTTTCTTTCAGTGATAGGGTTACTTTGTAAATAAAATGGAAGTCCTGTGACAGAATTGAAGTAGCTATCGATGGAAAGGGCCCTGGGACGAAACAAACAGATTCTACCCCTGTCATCACGCGAGATGCCTTACTCTGGAGTTGAATGAACTGGTCAAGGCTAGCTACTACTCGAGACTATTGTCTTGACTCTGAACCATAGTTTAACACCAGCATATGGCTTGATGTGTGACGAAGATCCAGCTAAAAGCAAAACCTGGGGCTAGGATGTTTTGCTGGGCCTGACGCTTTCAAGATCCTGATGCTGAGAGGCTGCTGTTCTGCTATACCTGGAAGAGACCTGTATGGCTCGATCTTATACGCTGCTCTACACGACTTGTCTCCTCTTACCAGACCACATAGTGAGACGCTTTTGATCAGTCAGCCTCACCGAATACTCCAACTAGCTCCTTGCCAAGCTTGCTCTCGAGGATTTGGATGGTTCATTCAAATATAAACATTGCAAATTGATAATCCTGAGCCCCTCCATGTACGTTGCATTTGATCAACTTTACGAGACACGGATTAACATTTCAGCGGCCCGATCTCAAAAGGCCCCACTACTGTTGGGTGATGCGGGCAAGAATTGTTCGGCGCTTATTAGCTCAAGTTCCAACTTCTCGGCCTGGCGAATTGCTAGTCATGGACTCACCGCACGACGCGCCATACTACTGCATGGCAGATACAAAATGCCGTCTCTGTCAATTCGAGTTACGGGAAGGCGACTTAGTGATCTCGCGTTTGTTTCCGATCCATATCACTTGACCTCTAACTTACACAAAAGCAGATATCAGAGGTCAACGATTTTCTATGGATTTCAAACTCCGTATGACTGAAATTGTACACGATAGCTACGAATGGGTCAATCTGCATACATGCGCGAGACGCCGATGCATGATGCAAGGTCACCGTGTACCATTCTTTCACCATGAATGTTTCTGCTTTAGACTCTATGACATATCGGACGCACTGGTCGCTGCTGGAGAATGGAGTTTTGAACCGCCCGCGAGTGAGAATAGTCGACGGTCCCATCGTATCAAGAGCCTGCTGGCCCCAAAGCTTAGAGACCAACTTCAGATCAGACTTCCTCCAGAGACTCTCATGACCATTGCTGGGTATCTAGTACGCGAATGTGCTGCTATCACGGCCGAAGAGCAGTCGCTGGGCACCGAGGTCTCTGATACGACAGTTGAAATTTCACGGGATATATACGTCAACTATACTGCAGTCGATGGAGTGCGTTATGTCAAGACCCTTTGCAATACAGCGTCAAATTTTGGCGACCAAGATTACAACAGGCTACGCAGAAAAATGGATAAGCCAGTTGATCAAATATGGATTGCCGAAGATCATCGAGGAATTCGGTCTGTCATATTCTGTGGTGCGGATTCACCGCTGGTAGGGCCTACACCGATTATGAAGTCGTGGTGGAGGGTTCTTACTACCTCGAACGCTACCAAAGAGATTGCAATAAAGTCTGATGTAAGTATGACCTGCAGATCGACATCTCCATCTTAACTTGTGTTAGGGTATCAAGTTGAGAGACATCGTTATGTCTGGTGAGACTAGACCGTATGCCAGCAGCAACTATGTTAGTTGGGCAGATCCTTCGCACCCAGACAATGTCATTGACATCATGACCCTTGGACTAGTTGACGTCTTCCCCGAGGGACTCAAGATGATGTCCTTCGACTGCAACGCCAGTGGTACAACAGGGTACACAGCGGTGACTGGCGGATCCTCCGTTTCAATGATTCATGCTCACGGGCAGAATGATACAAGCTTCTATGAAGATATGGATGCTGCTTACCCCCGTGACTTTTTTATCCATATGCCTCTAGACGGAGGAGAGTATGTGACCGAGATATGTCGAAGGTATGCACTGGGCGCAGGGAATCGGCCCTCGGCTTGTCTAGTGGTAAGATGATAGTTACTGCCTTCTTGCGATAACATTCTGAACTAACAGTCTCTAAGTTCACGACCAACCGAGGAAGAAACACACTGTTTGGAACAAGTGGCCCTCCAGAGTCTTGCTTAGTGCTTGAAAGGATCCTTACAGCGGCAGTAGGTGGAACAAAGATTTGGTTTAACAACTCGTCATCGGTGCAATCAAAGTCACTCAGATATCTTGCATGCGACGTGATTGAACCGCCTTCTCAATGTCCCTTCCCAGCCTCCTTGGTGCCGAACGCTCCGTACTTATGGACTACGAGTACTGAGCCATGGTTTGTTTCATCCTGCAGCATGGCAGGGCTTGTGGCTATGACTCTCTGCAGGGATACGACACTTGCTCATCGGCCCATCATCGGGGTTTTAGTAGAATACGATAACGGTCACCGGGAGTGTTTGGGTCAATTCCGATATGATAGGAGCCTTGAGAAGTTGGGACTGGATCATGCTGCAGACTTGTATATTGGCAGCCTGAGGACCATACGTTCATATCTCTACGTTGCGGAGATCACCAGGGTTCCATCTTTTGAGAGTGGTATCGCGTCTTGGATGCGGGTATCTCGACATGGTAGACTGGAATGGTGGTCTTCCCTCCGACATTCTATCGTGCGTTACACATCAACTACAGGACAGTTCACAAACATGGAAACAAGAGCCTAAACTTAGAACATGTTGAACTCGAAAGTGCCTCGTAGGAGTCCGTATTGACGCATTGAGACTGGGTTGCATCATCTGGGCCTCCGTAAAATGGCACCATCGATAACAGATCCGATCCTATTCACTCATATACGGAACGAAAGACCAACGATAGTCACGATCCATACACCCTAGGCCATTAGGTCTGATGCATCTTCCAGCTGCATCAAGGGCTTGGCTCTACGCATCCTTCACAATACCGGAAGATCATTCAATTCCTATAGAGAGCATAGCGGATACAGTGCCATGGCTGGCGTCAAACCTCCCCACTATCGCGTCTACTCCTCTGAGGGACTGTTCTGGGGGCATTTCACACAACACTTAGTACGAGTCTTCCGGATGTATGTTATAGACAGACCTGCCAGAATCTGGGGGCCCGATGCTCAATATCCAGCGATAAATCTTCGTAGAGCATTCACAGAGGCTTGACAGACGTCGTGGCGGTCACGATGAGTCGCATTCCCTTCACCAGTTTCCGTAAGATTTGACAGGATTGATATTTTGCTAGTCCAGATCTGGAACGTCACGGAAATCTATAGAGTGTATAAGCGCTTAGTCCCAAGATGCGATAAGTTTAGAAAAGGTTAAAGGATGCATCTGATATAAATCAATTGAGTGCAGTCTGTAAACAAGCCGCTAGTTGCATTCGCATGGCCAACTAATGCTTGGACGTTTCAGCCAAGGCAGAATCCCAATATTATCACCAAACCCGAAGCAAACCGAGCTAGCAATAGCGGCTGTGCCTTGGCGCAGGTTCCCCCCGCCAGGGAATTAGCCCGTGTTCCAATTGAGAAGCAAGGCAGATACTATCTGGCAAATAAAGCATGCCTTAATTAATAAGAATGATTGAAGAAATATCTCTTAGGCACAGAAAACAAGCAAATACATGGTAAAGAGGAAGCTCGGCGTGGCAGGCAACAGAATTGTGGCTTGTTTGCCCAATCAGATCGTAGTGTCGAATGATTTTAGCCAATCATGCAGTTAGGCAGAATCAACAGGCAGGCAAGGCAGCCATCGACGTCAATTGAGGCACAAACATCCCGGCTGACTCACTCAGTAAGTCTACTGCATATAAGACGTACTGCGATGTCAGTCACGTCTCACTTCTCTCACCCAAAGACTTCTTCCATCACCGTCATCATCACGTATCATCCATTTCTACTGTAGGATCAGGCTAGAGTGCTGCGCCTCATTAACCCTCACTGTGATACCCATACGGCTTTCAATTCCCCATCTCCATCGCCTGTCTTGTTCACTCCACTCCACTTTCTCACCTGATATCGCTGTCGACTTCAGTCTCTGACAGCACCAGTCAACACCGCCTATACCCTAGACAGCATCGTCACCGAGAACAGGAAACAATATGTCACTCTTTGGCGGTTCACGAGTCGGCAGACGTGTCAACACGACCTCATGCGGCTGCTACATCTTCATCCAAGATACCCCGAGATACCTCCCTCAGGTCCAGATCAAAGCTCACACAACTATCCTCGCCACAACATCTCGCACCAACCTCACCCAGACCTTTGTCAACCCCACCGGCGAAGCCATCGATGAACTTCGCTATGTGTTCCCTCTCTACGACGGTGTCTCCGTCGTCGCTTTCACCTGCACCGTCGGCTCGCGCGTCATCAAAGGCGTAGTCAAGGAACGGCAGAAGGCTCAACAAGTCTATAATGAAGCTAAAGCCAAAGGACAAACCGTTGGTCTGTTCAAGCAGTCCCTTGAAGCAGCTGATACTTTCACTACCACTATTGGAAACGTCCCCGCTGGTGAGAAGGTGCAGGTTGACATCACGTACCTTGGAGAGCTCAAGCATGACGCCCAGGTCGATGGTCTTCGCTTCACTATCCCAACCCAGATTGTTCCACGATATGGGGATTTTGAATCCCTCCCCTCGTCTAATGTTGTACAGAAAGAAGGCATCTCTTTCACCATTGATGCAGAGATGCCGGACGGCTCAGCCATCAAATCCATTCAGTCTCCGTCTCATCCTCTTTCAGTAGAGATTGGCACTACCTCTACGACCAAGTCCCAAGACCCATCCCTCCAGAGAGCTTCTGCCACACTCCAACAGGGCACTACCCATCTGGAACAAGATTTTGTTGTCCAAGTAGTCGCCACGAAGCTAGGAGAACCATCAGCTATCCTGGAAACTCACCCCACCATCCCGAACCAACGCGCCATCATGACCACGCTTGTCCCCAAGTTCAAACTACCCGCCGAAAAGCCTGAAATTGTTTTCATCTGCGACAGAAGTGGAAGTATGGGTGGTCAGATCCCGGGCCTCAAAACGGCTCTCCAGATCTTTCTCAAGTCTCTTCCTGTTGGCGTCAAGTTCAACATTTGCAGTTTCGGCTCTCATTTCAGCTTCCTCTGGGATCGGTCACAATCCTATAGCCAAGAGACACTCGACAAGGCTGTTCAGCACGTCGAGACGTTTGACAGCGACTACGGTGGCACCGAGATGTACCAGCCATTCGAGGCTACTTTCCAGAAGCGCTACAAGGACATGAACCTCGAGGTCTTCCTGCTCACAGACGGCGAGATTTGGGACCAAGATCGTCTTTTCCAGCTTATCAACAAGGAAGTGGCTGATAGTAAGGGTGCTGCCCGGGTCTTTTCCCTTGGTATTGGAGCAGGCGCCAGTACCTCTCTGATCGAGGGTATTGCCCGAGCTGGCAACGGCTTTGCTCAGACGGTTGCTGATGATGAGAAGATGGATAAGAAGGTTGTTCGCATGCTTCGAGGAGCTTTGTTTCCCCATATTTCCGATTATTCTCTGGAGATCAAGTATGACAAGGAAGATTCTTCGACCGAAGATGACTTTGAGTTGATCGAGAAGGTAGTTGACGCCTTGAAGATTGATACTGTGCAGGAGGAAAAGACCAAGGAAGTGGAGGGCCCGAAGAAGCCTATCTCATTGTTTGACGCGTCTGCAAACGATGATGATGATACTGAGATGGTTGATGCCGCGGACGTTGACAGCAAGTTTGACCATCTTCCTACTGTTCCTTCACCTCGATATATTCAGACACCCGGCACCATTCCTCCTCTATTCCCTTTTAACCGTACCACCGTGTACGTCCTTCTGTCCGAAGACACTCCTTCGCAGCAACCCAAGTCCGTCATTCTCAGAGGCACCTCAAGCCATGGCCCTCTCGAACTCGAGATCCCAATCACAGTAGTCGCCGAGAAAGACTCTGTAATTCATCAACTCGCAGCACGCAAGGAAGTCAAGGAACTCGAAGAAGGCCGGGGATGGCTCAAGCATGCCAAGGACTCCGACGGCAAACTCCTCACGGAAAAGTATGATGGCCACTTCTCTGACATGGTGGAACGTGAGGCTGTGCGTCTTGGTGTCAAGTATCAAGTTGGAGGCAAGTGGTGCTCGTTCATCGCTGTTGAGGACAATGGGAACGAGCTTGACGGAGGAGAAGTCCAGGAGGCTGTGCCTGACGTGAATCGAGAACAATATATCATGCCGCAAATGATGGCTACTCGCTTCGGTGCACCAAGCAACCGGAAACCTTTTCTCTCGTTTCTCAGCCGTGCTCGCTCATCGAATCAGCCAGATACCAGGAGCACCGGAGGCTTTGGGAGCTTTGGTGGAGCATCCTTGAGTTCATCTGGAACTCCTCCCCAAGCCCTTGGAAGAGGTGGTGGCCTCTTTGGAAGTTCAAGTTCTAGGTCTTCCAACACTGGGGGAGGACTGTTTGGCAACTCAAACGCCCAAGCAAGCAGTTTCGCCGCAGGATCTAGTGCATCATCTGTTAATCCTTTCGCAGCTGCGCCGGGAGGATCGTTCGGCACACAAGGAAGCTTGTTTGGCAGTGCTCCTCCGCCTCCACCTGCTGCACCTGCATTGCCAATTGCTCAGGTCATGCCTCCCGCACCACCTGTGGCTGCAGTTGACGAGGGTCTTCTCAATGAGTATGGAGTAGAGATGGATCAGGCTGCGGCTATGCCACTTGAGGAAGCGGAAGAGTCTGGTGAAGACATGGGGTTCGGACTTTTCGACGACGGACCTTCTGCTCCTGCGCCAGCTGCCTCCTCTGCTTTCTGTGCCATGCCTGCATCCTCTATCACTACAGGCCCCAAGAGAAAGGCCGTCAGTGACATGGAGCCACTGCAAGCTTTGACTTCTCTTCAAACCTTTGCGGGTAGCTGGTCCTGGAGTTCCGATCTCGAGCGCGTCCTCGGTGTGACCTCTGACCAGGTTTCCAAGTTGACGCTGCCGGCTTCAGTCAAGGACCATTCGGATAAGGACGATGTGGTTGCTACAGCATGTGCGGTGTTGTTCTTCAAGAAGAAACTGCAGGAGGAAATGGATACCTGGGAAATGTTGGTTGAGAAGGCGGAAGGATGGTTGGAGGACAACATTGGGGAGGATGGTGTTGCTGAGCTATTCAGTGCCCTCGAGAAGTTGTTTTAGATAGCTTATCGACGGCTTCGTCTTAGATGAAGCTTTTATGGAGTTAGTTAGTATGAAATGAGAATCCAATCATCCAAGTACAAATGTTGCCTTCGAGGTCTGTATCTCCCTGTACAAGAAAGTAGTGCTCTAAAGAGACTGGCCAGCATTGAAATAGCCTCAACTATTAAGGAATGTTGAACATACCGTTGATTCAGACAGCTCTCGACCATCATGACTTTGCATCTCGTTCTTCATTTGCAGGTCTATCTCTCGCTATTATTTACAGCTTGCAAACACGCAATACCAATCCGCATGGCGCAATTCCAATATACACGCAACCTATGGTGCATGTCATTCCGTAGATGTCTAAACTTGCGGCGTGTCTCTAAATATCGGGTATTGATGAAGCTGCGATGAACTTTGAACGGGCTATGGAAGAAGCGGGGTCTTCAGGGTATGCAACTTTCAGCAGAAGCCCTGGATCGCTTTTAAGCCTCAACCATGGGTTATCTGGCTGTTTAAAAGCTTTCACACGACATACAGAGTATCGAATACTTATAAAAACTCATAACAACTTTATTTATGCTTGTTTACTGGAGTGAACGGTGCGTCGTTGGGGTCAAAGTTCCGTACCTTGCACCATGGTTGGTCCAACAACATGATTTCAGAAATCCCAGCACTGTACCCAGAACTAAGCCTTTATTACGTGTCAGGGAGAGCTGGACGCCTAATCACCGCCATTCTGCATCGGGTTGTCCGCCCTAGCTGTGACCAAATGCGGTTGGAGATGGCTTAGTTGGTATTTTTCAATTACTTCAATCATCGAAAACTTGTCACAACGGCGTCTCTACCTTGACCATCTTTCAGAATGCCCACTCGTAAGGTTTTGGTAATAGTCCCCGATCTTCTATGCCAAACTGTTCTAGCTAGAATTAATCGCCATACGCCCAACAGCCACCAGTTTAGCTGTGTCGGTGGATTCTCAGAAACTTGAGTGAGCTTGAGCCTAGAGGATAATAATGAGATGATTTCTTGCCATGTTGTCGCACCATTTACACAAATAATTGGGGTTCCATCAGCATTTTCTGACTCGAGGGACTCGACGGTTTACCTTCCCGACAATTCGTAGTCGTAGGTTTTGAAGATAGCTAAACAGACAAGACAATGTTCTGCTAGTAATCGCCGTTGCTGTTGTAGACGTCTTCAAGATTTGACTTTGATAGCCAGGAATAGAAAAAGTCCATTGAGAAGAAGTTGGAGAATGACCGATTGAGAAAATTGCTTGGTGAAATTTTCTCTCTCTTGGAAAACGGGTTGTGAAGGCTAAAATTTCTCAGTTGGATAAAAAGAAAAATGTCTGCCACGCAGGAAATGCCAGAATGTATTTTAATGCAATTAGAGTTGCATTTCTAAGGTTTTGAAAAGTTGGATACTGTACTAGTGAATTGTTGTCTGAGAATTATGTTACGATTGTAGTAATGTAGGAACTGGTAATTATTTTCACACTTTTCTTTACCTTCAAAACTAACGGTAGTTAACAGCAAATTAAAGTTCCTATCCCGCAATCCACCGCTGCATTAATTTTATTATTTACTTATTTTACTTTTCCGTAAAGACCATTTTACTAATCCATTACCATCTTTCCAATTCTCTCAGTCCGGCTGCTCACAAACACGAACTTTGCGACAGGAGGGCATTTGTGTTGGCGCTGCGTTTGTGCTTCGATCATTTTGTTGCTTTGACAAGAAGTCCCATCGCTGGAACCATCGTGTCTACTGGTTTACTGTAGTTACTTACGCCTTGTTTTCTTAGCATTTTAATTCCCAATGCTGTGACTTTTTAATTCTTTTTACAAACGCAGTGAAATTAGTTAAGAAGTGTTTTATAAAAGTTTAATTCACTCTGACTTTTGCATTTTCCTATCGTCTTACTTTCAAGTATAAGTTCTTATGCCTTAGCGGTTTTTTTTTTTTTTTTTTTTTTTGGTCGCTAACACTAAAAGTAAATGGGCTGCGGTTCGCGCTGGCACTTACCGTTCGCGGGCAATATCACCGCCGTGCTACTCAATCATTGAATGCAAAGTCGCAGCACTACATTTATTTAACCACGTATCGGACGAATTGCGAAATGAGTTAGCTAATGATACAAGCTCTTCTATATGCATTTACATTACCGCGAATTGTTAGATTTATCTGAGTTTTTTTTTAAAAAAAGAAAAGTAAAAAGAAAAAGAAAGGAAAAAAGAAGTCGGCTTGCTTGCGATGGGTTAAACATAAGTAAGTAGTCTAACTCATCTAAGGTAACAAACATATCCTGCAGCGATGACCTCAAACCGTCATTAACATCTTCCAGTGCTCTCCAATTTCAGGCCATAGCTTCAAGAGCAGCGTCAAATTCCTCAGTCACAGTCTTAGTCCATTTCGAGTCCTCCTTCACCGGCTCCCATCCTAACTCGCGACTCCGATCGCCTCTCGTCTGAGATCTACCAACGTCAGCAACGCTCATCAACAATAACTATCCAACTCACCTCGAGCACAATTCAAGCTCAGTGAGATGCTCATCACCGTCGAACCAAGCTTTACTAACCTCCTTCAGCCCAACACTTTCGGGTTCAGCGGTGACTTTGCCTCGTTGATGGCCGACTCTTGCAATCTCCTTCGCTATGTCAAACCATGACTGTTTCCCATGGTTTGCAAAGAAGAATCCCTCCTTGCCAAAAGGTACATCCTCCTCTCCAACAATCTTTGCTAGTAGGAGCGTGTAAAGCGCTGCAATGTCTTCAATATGCGTGTGACCCCAAACTCCCAGTCCGTCGCCGGCGTACATCGCCCGTCCCCTCTCCAGAGCAGTCCTGACCATTGTCGGGATCTGTATCGACGACTTATTAAACAAGCCCGTTCCCTTACCATAGATCAGAGGGGAACAGATGATGTACGTCTTGACACCCAACTCTTCGCCAAGTTCAAAGACGCTAACATCATCAGTTCGTTGATGATATGGCTCAATCGTTTGCCTCATCTTCTCATAAGCGTAAACATCATCTTTATCCGAAAATACCCTTTTCTCAGCGTACGTCTTGGAAACAGGTCTATCACCAAAATTCGAAGTTCCGGAGTTGTGAATGTAGTGAACGTCGCGCCCTGTTTGGTTCTTCCGTTGCGCGAGACCGCTGATGAAGGCCTGGGCGGAGGGGACGTGATAACCGTTTGCTGCATGTATGACGATGTCGTGTGCTGAAGCTACTTCAGTGAGAAAAGCTGTATCGTCGAGGTTGGTGAAGAGAACAGGTGTTATTGGGAGGGAGGATAGAGTCGAAGCTTCAGATTGGGTGCGGACTAGGGCCGTGATGGGAAGTTTCGCGAGGTGTGGGTTTGAGAGGATCGTTGTTAATACACTACCACCACTGAAGTTGTAAAGTACTTCAAACGATAGGAGGGTCCATTTACACGTAGCCGGTCGCGCCGGTGATGAGGATTCTCTGAGTTTCCATGATGTTCGCGGTTCACAGGCTGAGAGTTGAGAGGTTGAACTTGTGAGTATGATCAAGTAGCATCCATCGCTATTTGACTTGAGATAGTCGCTGTTTTATACATTATCCAAAGGCTTCGTATCATAAGATGCATATACGCATGGAGTATAGGGAGTTGCCCAAAGGAGAAATCGGAGCTCGTATGGAGCGACTTCGGGGTTAAGGGCCTGGACTTAGCAACACTTGGCCTATCCAAGCGGACATAAACCGTTGTATGCATATTCGACATGATCTTAGTTTCAGAGCGTCACAGAGGAGTAAGATAATTGGAATGATTGGCTGAAGATATGATTTGGGGGATCGCTGCCCGGGAAGGACTAATGAACGCCAAGTCTCATGGCTCTTTGGTGCAGACATCGAGTCCCGTTCATAAGACATGGAGAGCTTGGTGTAGACGATGATGCCTGTCAGGCTAGAGTGACGATCCACGGGCACTATTGAAGCTCACTTAATGCTTCGTAAAGATACTACAAGGGAATTAGCGCATGTAAAGATCTTTAACTCCCCGAGACGACACCAGTCTCGATAGGATCCACTCGCAATCTGCTTGTTAACAGATCTGCCAAAAGCCCTACCTGATTGACAGAACCAAAGAGCAAAAGCTGGAACGGTCATTGCCCAGCAGTTTACCTGCCCTTGATGTCTCGTTTACCATGATAGGCTGGCCATGAAGGGCGAAGAGCAAAGCTATTAAGGTGTCTATCATATGTGTTCTTTACGTTTAAGCCGGGTTCCACTGCCTCTTCTACCCCCAACCTCATGAATACAGCTATAGCTACAAAGTTTCGTAGTGCTAGGTCTCGAATGTCCTGCTATATTGGCTACTTTGTAGCTGGTTGATAGCCAAAGTAGTGCAGCATCCCATTCGAAGATGGTGGTGTTGGATGGCCCAGAGTTTGTCAGGTTATCGCGAGTGTAGTCATCTTACACCAAATCGAGATTTAATATAGACATTATTCCTAAATGCAAATTCTGTGCTGAGAAACGTACCTTGAACTGATGTGCTTGCTCGGTGCCGCGCCTCCAGTAGACCATTATGTTAAAAATTATTATATATTAATCTTATAAACTTAATTAGCTTATATTCTCTTAACTTTTAAAGCTTTTAGTTACTTAAATATAACTTACTTTAATAAAAGTATTAATACTTTAACTTTTCTAGCCTAAATAACTTAACTAATAAAACCTTTAATAATTTAACCTTTTTACTATAGTATATATATAATCCTTCTTAAAGTTATTTAATAACTTTAATTAATACCTATATTATTACCTTTATAGCCTTTTATAATACTATAATTTATAATAACTAGGTAATATTTTTTTATAGCCTTTTAATTATATTTTTATAAGCCTTTTTTATAAGCCTTTTTAGCTTTTTAGCTTTATAGCTAGTAAAGTTCTTAAGGTTACTAATACTTAGGTAATTAGTAGCTAT